CTTTCTCAAGTTTGGGACTATTATGTTTTTAAATAACTTAGAAGGCAAAGGAGTGCAAGCACAATCTTTAACCCTAACAGATACGCGCGAAGCGCGCGAAAAATGTTTGTGTTTTTAATTCTAATTTCGTCAGAATTGATCAAAACTCCCTAAATGTGCATTTTTTTAGACGAAATTGGCCTACCTCAACAAGAAATGCTCTTATGTTATATATGGCCACACTCGTTTTTTTTAAAAACTGAATATAAGCATTTTCCTTATGGCTTTATTTATTACAAACATATTCTTTCAACATCATTACACATTTTAGGTAAAAAGATCTATCATAAATTTTCTTTCTTGAGTTTGGGACTAAAAATTTTTTGTTTTTTTAATTCTAATTTCGTCGGAATTGATCAAAACTCCCTAAAATGTGCAATTTTTAGAGGAAATTGGCCTACCTCAACAAAATATGCGATTTAAAATTTGAGATTTTCAAGCACTTTCGGCACTTTCCCGGGTGAAAAGGGCATTCAATGGGGAAAGACTTTCCACAGATGGATATTTTCCCCTTGTCCCCCGGTGGTTACGCCACTGCGGAGAATACCTGGCGGCTTAGATCAAATGCGCTAAGGACACTTTTTGAAGTGGAGAAGGGGTTGCAGGACGGGGTATTGTGATATCTGTTCATTATATCTTCCTTTTTATTCTTGTCTTTAGGCCTATTTTTCTCTTCTCTTGTTATTATTCTTTTTCCTTTCTTTTTCTTTCTCCTTCCTTTTATTTCCCTCCCTCTCCCCTTTTTCTTTTCTCTTCTTACCCAGCCCGGTACGACGGCTTGGTCAGCCCGGTAAAAACCGTCAGGGGGAGGGGGAGGACAGTCTGCCCCCTCCTCTGTTACGCCACTGCTTATAAGATGAATGGGAATATGAATCATGCAGATCTGGAATCAAATCTAGGTGGTGGGGTCAACATTTCGATTTCTAGATGACGGGAAATTCTGAGGTGCCTTTTAATTACTCTTAGGTTCTTCAAAATTCAAGGTTTTTCCATCTTGAAAACGGTCAGGTAATTTTTTCCCATTGTTATTACAGTAAATAGGGCTTATGTGCGTATACATACATAACAATTTTCAAAAAATGAGTAGTTGCATACGAATTTTCCATGAATCGATGATTCCCAAAAAGAAAGGGGGCCCGGGGCTCTTCCCCAAGAAAATTTTGATTCCTAGAAGGCGGGAAATGAGCTTTCCCGACTTCTGAGGTGTCTTTCAAATTAAAGTCATTAAAAAATACTTCAGAAGTCGGGAAATCAATATTTCCTCCCTTTATTATTTTTTGATAAATACCAATTTATCATTCCATTTACATAGTCAGTGTCGTAACAGCTTTCAAACTAGGATTTGATCTATTTCGTACAATGTATTTCTCCCTTTCACTATTGATTATGTTAAAGGTCTTCGGAACTCTGAAAATGTGTTATGCCTTGAAGTTCGGTTAGTTAAAACTTCAAAACATATAATAACCTCCTTCAATGCAACTGACTTCAATATTTACAATATAGGTATCTATTTTAATAGGCCTATTATATGTTGTAATTACATGGAAAATAATTATTTTATTTGATTTAATAATATAGGTCATATTTTAGCTTTGCTGAATTGCCTCAGAGAAAAATATTTTAAATATTGAATAATGTCTTTCATAATAATTAAACAAATGTTACTGTTTTTTTTCTGGGTAAAACTGATTTCCTAAAAACAAAAAGTGCATTAGAATCAGTTGTAATACTACATATTTCTTATTTTTATGTTGGTTCATCATGGTTCATCATTCACGTTATGTACGTAATGAATATGCAAATTAGATCTTGACCATGACACCTTCGCTTACTAGTGAGAACGTATGTTCGCGCAAAAGTGTGAACATACTTATTCAAGCCGCATAACGTGTTTACTCCATGGTTATACAGTACTTATAGTGTATTGTGTATTCTTACCAAATTATGCTGTGCATAAGGTAAACATTTTAAACATTGTATATATACCTATATATATTAATATAGACCTATATATATATATATATATATATATATATAGTGTATAAGAGTATAGGCCTATACATACATATGTTGCAAATACAAATATACAAATATATATAGGCCTATATATATATATATATATGGGCCGATAGGCCTACATACATATGTTATATATACATATATACACCTATATTTACATATATATACACATATACATAACACATTTACCTTTATTTATAAATATTTGTTATCCCAAAAAATAAATTAATCTTGAAATTTATTTTACTAGAATATGGAGGTGCCTAATCTGGGTGATATAATGTTCTCGCTATCTTATCTGGAGACAGCCGAACGTCTTAATATAGTTATTCTGAAAGCACGAAACCTGAAACAAGTTAGTGAAAAGAAAGATCCAGGTTAGTAACAAAGCCACGCATGTCACATCACGTACATCAGTTCTATGGAGGCTGAATATAGAATAACCATAGAGCTATTCACTAATATACATATTTATTTACATAATCTCCTCGATTTTGTTTTAAAATAGAAAAAAAACTCGTATGTATTGGCCGCTCTTGTTCAATTTTTAAAGGCCCTTTTCATGTCTTAGATTATGAATTTATTTGTAAAACATATTAATTTTCCCCTCCGAAGCCAGGCATTAAGATGTTGGACAACATTATTATTATTATCATTGTCATCATCATTATCGAAATTATTATCATCATTTTTATTTGTATGTATGTTTATATGTTTTAATACAACTGGATTGGATTGGATTAGATTTATTCAGTGTAAACACCAAGGATAGCCCACGAAAGTCTAGAAGAAGACTTGTTTCCAGTAGGGTCCTTCTGGTGGTGATTGGGCAGAACACCGGGAGACAATCCCCTATTCTTTTCCGAAGAGTTCTTTAACGTGCACATGGGCCATTAATGCACACGAGACCAACGGCTTAAACGCCTCATCCGAAAGACAGTGCGCTATTGTAACTTGTATTTCATCCCTCCAATTGAAACACAAGGAGAGGCAGCGATGGGAATTGAACCTAGAGATATCCACGGTTCAGCGCACACATAATGGCTACCCCCAGATTAGTCGACTAAGCTGCTCCCTCTTCCTCAACAACGTTGTTTTATTCTTATTTTTATTTATTTTATTTATTTTTTTCTTTATCAGATCCGTACGTGAAAGTATCTGTATTTCATGCGGGGAAGCGGTTGAAAAAGAAGAAAACCACGTCTAAACATAGTATAGTCCATCCTGTCTTTAATGAAGCCCTAGTTTTTAACGTTTCGAAGAACTTTCTGAAATACTTAAAATTGGAAGTTAGTGTCATTCACGACAACAGGGTTGGACAGAATGAGGTAAGATTAATATGAGACATTTTTAAATATTCAAACCTGGGTCCTTCTGCTATAATTATTATTACTATTGAGGCCTATTGCGTTGTAAAAGGAGTTATCAATGCAATTGAAAGGATCAGTACTTCCAAAAACAAGTTTAGTTTAATGGAATACTATGTAGTAGTGCAAAATAGGCATTGCTATAAAAGACAATTTTTACAAAATTGGAATTAGATATACGCGCTAAGGTAGGCTGAGGTTGAGGTAAATTTGAACTGCAACACTAAGAAAATATGATAGGATTGTAGATTTGTTGTCCACCTTGTTATAATTACCTTGATCTGACATTAGACCGTTGGTTCCATATGGAAGCATATTTGCACATGCGTACAAAATGCGATTTCTACAGGATCAAATCAAATCGTATCGTATATAAAGACGTAGTGTGTAATGAAATGTTTAATTGTTGAAATTAGCAATAAAATTAAAAATCTAATTTTAAATTGTTCATTTCAGGTTCTAGGCAAGGTGATAGTTGGACCAGATTCACATGGAGAGGAGCTTGCTCACTGGAATGACATGATTACCTCAAGCAAGGCCGTTGCAAGATGGCACCGACTCTTTCCATGATAGCCTATGTTTTTTTAATTTATTTTACTAAACCACATGTACGGATGATATTCGTTGGATATGATAATATGGTGTATCACCATGACATTGCTATGTCAAGTTTCGGCATCTCCGACGGCCTAATAAAGTTAAGCACTTTGAGGATTAGCTTAAAACAGCACGTGCTGTCTCAATGCAAGACGAATGCAAAAGAAAAAGTGAGTCTCACGCCTCCAAGCAAGGCCTAGTATTTTGATGTCTAGGTTTGCATTGACGAGTCCAAGTCCATCTACGTATCAAGTACTGTACTTGAAATACTAGGCAAATATTAGTAGTGATACTTAAATACCGTCACACAGTAATGTTACTACTCTTAATAAGCTATACTATCGCAAATGGCTGAGATTGCTGCTCAAAATAATATCTACAATTCTCAAGTATATGTATGATCTGACGTCAGTAAACAGATAATGTCATAATATATAATATGTATACACTTGTAATAGAATTGAAATACATATATACATGCAGTAAATACTGTTTTTCAAAGGTCTAAAAGCGATAAATACTCAAACAATTGATATATAGGCATGTGTATCCGATTAGCCTGTTTTACTTTCATTTCAACTAAACGATGGCGATTATTGGTAGAAGCAATTGCAATGGTGCTATAAAATTTTGCCGCATGTTGGTCGTTAGGGAAAAGGACAGTAATTTAGGACTAATGATTTAATACGGGAGAATCCATCATGTAGATGGTAGGTGTTACTGATGATGATGATAATGATGATGATAATACGATGAATATGGTGGTATAGAAGATATTATTGATAGATGATACTGATTTTTAAAAAATAATAATGAAGGTGAGTTTTATTTATTTGATGATTAATATTAGAATACCGGATTTTGTTATTACTGTTTAATACAAGACTGATCAAGGTGATAAAATATCATGATAATTATTATGAAGATGGGATTAATAATAAGGAAAATAATTATGAGTATAAATAACAATGGTGGTGTTAGTATTTGATTACCTGACCTATTGTGTATAAATGGTAATACACTACTGTAAATACAAGTAACAAGGAGTGAAATTTGAGGGCTAAGATTATGACGATGATATGAATATTATAACGATACTAAAAATGATGGAGAGGATAAATGGTGGTGGCCGTAGTGTTATGTAGGTAAATGGTATTTGATACACGTATTATAGACGGATGAAATATGAGGCTGGGAAAACACATAAGAAAGATAAGATGAATGACTGATATTTTTTGGAAATATCAGTCTCCCTGACTATCTCAATTTAAATTACCAACGTAAGCCGCAATTTATTCTCGAGTTGTCACTGTTTAAGGTGACGTTTCCTTCTGCAGATGTTAAAATAATCTCAATGAAGGAACTTTATTGATCGTGCCCTACGGTGCGGTATTTTCTCATTTTTTCTTCTCGGTAGCTTTCGTGCATATGAATTTTTTAGTACATTATTCCATGGAATTTAGTTATGGATATATTCGTATCGTATGTTTATGTAATGAGAGAGATAACCCTACAGGTTAATACCACTCGAATAAGGAACGTAAATGATGTTTTTAAAACCAAGGTGAACAAGCGTAGTGTACTAAATATATATTTTTTAAATATTTGTGTGTATTTTGAGTTGATGTACTGTGTATGTTGTTGATATTATTTGACTATCTTCATATTTGAATGATATTTATTTAGGAAATCGATTGTTACTTAGAGGTCGAAGTGGTATATTAAAGGGCTACATGAAATTTAAGTAAAATCGTGTCTGTTTGCTTAAAGTAAGTCTTTTATTACATCTATGACCTATTACATGCCTTTTCCTACATTTTGTCTAGTGTTGCCAAAGTTTATTGAGATACGTACACATATACATAAGTAGAATGCGGACGTAATATTAGTGGCAATAGAAACATTGGATGATTGTAAAACAAACACATTGTACCTTGGATATGAAAGCTTAAACAATACCTTAAGGGTACGCAATCAGAGTGAGTTATGCTATCAAAAATAGTACCAAATGATAAAAAAATATAACAAGATAAAAACCGATATAGGCAATACAAGCCATTCTCCTTGACAGCGAGAGGTTGCAGGTCCGAAAAGTATATAGGCTTATCCTATATGTGCCTTATAAATAACATATAAGGCCTTTATGTAATTATATATATATTTATATATACATTGAATATATACGATATATAATATATCTAATTATATATATATATATACATGTATATCATTATTTAACATAATACAACGGCATTACAAACAAATAATGTGTTGTGTAAGTAATTTTTTTAACCCCTTTGTAAAATGTTTTACGATTAGGCCTATTCATTATTATAATAATGAATTGTTAATTCATTCTATTGATAACAGTGATATTGAATTTCAATATTTGTTTTGAAATATCTAGTAGACTATGTATCTAGAGAAGAAATTAGGTCAATGTAGCTCTGAAAGCGAATACAAAATAAAGCAACCTGACTATGATCTCAGAATAAATGTATGTGTGTTTAGTCGTGTCAAAAGATAGTGCTACTCACATCCGTATTAAAAACATTTTAACATCTAGGCCTGTTATTATCACTGGCATTCACTTAATAACAAGCTTTCAAATTTCTTATATCTGGAAGGTAATTTCTGTTTCCAAATGGTAGGACAATAGGTTCATTATATAATGCGTCATGTACGGTACCTAACGTATCAGTGCGCCCACAGTCGGCAGGCAGAAAAAAACTACGATTGTATAAATACAGTATTTACTCTGAAGAATCAGACAGTTAACGATCTTCGCCATAATTCACTAGAAATACGGTAATTATATGTGATTACAATTCAGATAGGCATAATACATTTGTCTTGGATAAATTCTGACTTGTCCTCACAGATAAGTTAAATCATGAGACGCAAACATCGAGCTCTAGGCCCTCCGCTTTTATAATGATTTGTATCCTCAACAACTTAGTTTTCAGATCGCAATGCTGTGACAATAAAGAAGAAGCAAAATACCAAGATACTTTAGTTGTCATTCAAATCAAGTTGCTGCTTAATACTTTCACACAAATAAAGTATAATCAAAAATAGATAATACTACAGCCCTCAAATACATAGAAACAAGATTTTATAAATCGTATCAATCATAGTTCATCAACGACAGTTTCTTATTATAGTTTTATGAAAATAGACGTCTCCGGTGAGAATTGAACCCACAATCTCTCCGTGAGCTTCATACCGTTTAGACCACAGAGGACCGGACGATATCATTACGGATCTAAGACCACTAGTCTCTCTCTATCCCTTCAAACAACTCGAGGGTTCACGCACAGTGGAGCTAATTTTTAAGCTACGTAATAGCATAGGTCCGTTGGTAAATCATAGAAAATAATCTTCAAATCAAATTGCTGCTTAGCACTGGGAACGGAAATAATGTATAAATCAAATAGATAACGATACAGTGCTTAAATACATAGGAACACTTCACCCGTTACTCTAACCCCATCTGTGGGAAACAATATTCATCACAAGCAAAACAGCCAAGATTCTGTCATTATGTCGTTATAACAATTTTTAACCATATTGTCAATGACGCTATTAAAGCAGTGAGGCGTGATTATCTCAGGTACATCACTTTCTCCGCCCGTACCCCATTCAAATTCAACCAAACAAACAAAACATTTTTCATGTACCACTGCCAGTTTTTACAGTCAAACTGTGTAGACATAATGTCTCCGAAGAGAGCGCAAGTGGGTAGGTGGCGAAATCCGCCCAGAACCCACACTATCTTTTTGTGGCACCATAGCAACAATATCCAAGGGGCGGGGCTTAGCGGAACTAGATCCGTTTAACAATTTTAAATGCAAAATCTTCTTTAACCGAGGTTCATTATCTGTAATAATCACATTAATTTTTTTTACTCATTGAGCTTCTCAATTGAGTAACCCTCCCTGACGAGAAAGAATGGAACAGAATCACCTGGTGTCTCAACTGTGCGTCATGATATATTGATGACCCTATTACCAGGATTTGCTCAATGACGTGGCACGAGGGCTTTAGGCTATATTTAATTCAAGATATACAGTAAGATAAGACCCCATTTTACCAACCGATGAATTTCGGGAAGGAGCTTCAACGCAACATTTAGTATTTGTTTTATTATCATTTTATTTTCGTTGTGGTACCCTTGTTCATGAACTCTATTATCCATATTTTCATATTTATGGACATATTTTACGTGACTAATAATGATCATCATCGACTGCTTTGAGAGAGAATTTTAAGAGAGTGTACCAGTATTCTAGATACTGCCCAAGCCCGACCTATCCAAAACCCCCAATATCTAGACTCGGCTTTAAAAAAGAGAGAAGCTAAAACAAAGTTTAGATAATTATTATTATACATTACCTTTTTCTTTTTGCCTAAAATGATTCCATTTTAGACAAGCCAAAATGCATGAAATATGTGTGCTGTTCATATTACAATTTGGACTAAGAAAATAGGACTGACCCTGATTGTTAATTGTCACTTAGGAAAACACAACGATTGTTTGTTTGGTCTAATCTAATCTCGGACACTCAGGATGAGTGTTTGTTTGTGTGTTAGTTGCATATCCATATCGCACGTCTACAGGTCTAAATACGTGGGTGACCGTGTGGTAGACTGTATGCCGCGCATTTTTTTTTTAACACGAAATGCGGGCTCCTGATAATGAACTCGTAATGGCGTACAAAAAGCAGCGGAAGACAACATTGAGTTTCTTCATACAATAGAGGTACATTTAGGCCTATAACGCATTGTCATGACCCCTATATGAAATATCATATTGTTACCCAGGTAACTGAACAAACGCCTATGGAACATGCCAAGATACAAAAGCATGTAGATGGAACCAATTAAAGTGTTTTGGCAAAAGAATCAGTCGAATCGAAATTCATTGCGTTCCACTAACCATGCGAGGCCTAATCCCCTTGATTCATGAGAATAGTAGCAATTGTTTCACCTTATTAGTAATAAAGTAATAGTCCTAATATTACAGAGACAAAAAAAAAACAAAAAAAAACAAAAAAAAACAAAAAAACCCAAAACAATAAATTCATGTTGGGGAAAAAGAAGTCTTCTTTAATGTGTGGGCGCTGTTTATAAAACCGCATGCTTGTGAAGACGTTGAGAGATATTGATACAAGATCATATCTGCCTTGCCTATTCAAATAAAAAACAGTATTGCAAACAATTTTTAGGGCCTATTATAACAATCAGAATAGCTAATGCATTCCAACCCTCCTATTGGCTTTGTTCATCGAATTTTGAGGGGTTTAATTGAGAGGAAAAATTTTAGGGGGAGTTTATCGAAATTGGGGCGTTTGTTTGAATAAATACGGTATGGAGCTAAAAATTCACTTATAATATTGCAGCGTTTTATCGCAAATTGAATGATCTACATATTTACATAATTCGAGACTCGGAAGCCTTTTTGTTTTCATTATAGAAAATATCCAATATACTTTTTAGTATCATGTTTATGAGTCGATTAATCACACGTACGTTGTTTTTGCAGCATCAATGCACACAGCATTCGTGCGGCCACATCACATCTGTAGATATTTTTACTGCATTTATGTCAAAAATTATTAAATACGATATAATGCAGTAGCCAGCCATTGGGACAGTTTGGACAGTCCCACACAATTTTTCTATTGGCTTCACATTATTTATACAGAGAATGGGTCCCCATTTTCAAAAACGTGTCTAAATTATGTAATTTTTGAAAAAAGTCCGCTTTTTGAAATAATGGGTCCAGGTTATTTGAATTTCGCTTAAAATGGGTCTACCCTGAAATTATTGACGCGCACTGTAGGAAAATCCTGGCTAAGGCATTGGATATTAATATAGGCAATTAATCAGGTCTTTATTTAAATTCAAATAATTCATACAAACATCAAAAAAAGAGTGCAAAAACTGATCTACATGATTATTAGTGAGATTGTGCAAAAAGTTATTATTTCGGAAAGTTGAGAAGGAAAGTACAACGTCAACGTTCAGAAAGGTGAGATAGGCACAAACATAGGCCCTATTAGAGGGCTTAGCTAAAGGCAAACCCAGAAATAAACTTTTATTATCTGATTCTTAAACCATACATAGAAGAACTATATTTGACATAAAGAACGACTTTGTATATAGGTATTAATTTCTGGGATATTGGTGGCAAGTAAAAAGTGAGATTTATCGTGGATGATTACAACATAATAAATAATAAATATTGTTAATGAATGAGGCTATTTTGTAATCCAAGCATTTATACATAAGACACTGATATATTTATCATGGTCATCATAAATATTTCATAAAATCAGATGTAGATAGATGAGAATTTGTCATACAACCTGTTTTGAATTGTATATTTGTCGACCTTACTACGCTGCAAATATTTATACTTAAAAATTAAATACCGTATTAGATAAATTAACTGCATTTAATATTACCTGCAGCTTTCTGGATTTTACTTTGAACATAATTTAAACGAAGTTTTAAACATAATTTATTTTCAATTAGGCCTATCAAAAAATATTGTCATAAATTATAATTTCAAATTTACCAATTTCACAGTCAGTTGATCACGTGACGCACGTCTAAATGAAATTAAAAAAATTAATCACTCCTATGAAATTTAATTTGTTTTTTTTAAATAAACAGTAGGGTCATATTATTAGAAGTAAACTAATGGGCTATTACAGGCTCATACTGTGATTAACTGTGTTGAAT